AGGATTGGAAGTACCATTTAACCCAGCTATTCCCCTTCTGGACATTTTCCCTGAAGAATTAAAGACATCATACTACAGTGATCTATGTGCACCCATGTTTATAGCAGCACAATTTGTTATAGTTAAATCTTGGAAACAACCCAGATGCCCATCTACTGAGGAATGGATAAAAAAGATGTGGTATTTTTATACAATGTAGTATTACTCAGCTATTAAAAAAGATAAACTCGAGGCTTTTGTAGGTAAATAGATGCAACTAGAGACCATACTCATAAGTGAAATACATCAGACCCAGATGTGTAAACATCATATTGTCTCCTTGCTGTAGGAACCTGAAAGACGAGGTAAAACTGAAAACGTACCATAGATGATAGGAAAGGGAAAGAAATTGTTCAAAGGAAAGAATGACTTGGCTGAGGAAAGAAGAAAAAAGAAAGAAGGTAAAACATAAATAAATGTGTAAATAGCTGCGATGACTGTATTGCTGTTGTCTCGTGGTGTATTGAAATGAACAGTTAATGCTCACAATTTTGTATGTTCTGATCGACTGTGCATGCTTGTGTCTGGTGGTCTGAGCAACTGATTTGAAGGGAACAATATGCAATGGAAGTACAATGGTGAACTCCTACCATCTTGTCCAGTGAAACTCTGTATTATCTCTAAGGTTTTATTGAAGAATTATTTTCTTATTCTCTTTAATGGTTTGAGCAATCTTTCATTCTTACACCTGATAATCTGAGCAATGTAGCTGAGGATAGCAATATGCAATGTAAGAACCACTGTTGATTTGTATTAATTTGTCTTGAGACCCTGTATCACTTTGAATGTTCTTGCTTTGATTTGTTTATGTTCGTGATACTGGTATGCTGCTACTGTTCTATTTTTTTGTTTGTTTGTTTGTTTCACATGTACTACTCTCTTTAAAATAAATGAATAAATAAATAAATAAAAAGTTTAAAATCCTACTTTTTGACCACATAATGCAGCAGAATAAACAATGGAACTAGATGACCTCCTGTCAGGGCAAACAGCTCAGCTTTTGAAATCTTTAAGCTTGATGAGCAATAAAATGCAAATTTTAGTGTGAAATATGAAACAAGACTCATTTGTATAAACTGAGCATAAACTACAGCATTAATTTTCAATAACCAGAGCTACATATAATTATATAAACATTTATTCTAAATTGCAAATTGCTTCTGCAATTTTACAGCAGAGTAGTTCCATGTCCCAGGATGGTAGAGGTGATAGTTAACTAGTTTTCTCTTTTAATTCACAAGAATATTTGAAAATGAATTAATTTTATGTCCCTGGATAGCTTGGTTAACTTAATGATTTGTTCTGGAGAGATCTTCCATACCTAAAATTAATACTTTTAAAAGTCAAAAGCCACACAGAATGACACACACCTGTAATCACAGCACTCCGAAAGGCTAAAGCAGGAGGATTGCAAGTTTAAGCCCAGTCTGGACAATTTAGCAACCTAGTAAAACCCTGGGATGTAGCTTAGTGTGAAGGCTCTGGGTTCATTCCCCAATACCAGAAAAACAAAGTCAAATAAATTGCTTTTATTTGCTTACTTCATATCTATGGTTTAATACGTAACTGTTTCCTTTAGAAAACTTATTTTATTAACCATTAGATTACATAATTTTCTTTTTCCCCTCCTAGTAACTAATTTATTTATTCAAAAATATGTATTTTCCTTTTAATAGTCATTTCCTTTTAAATAGTCATTCCTTTTAATGTCTTACATAAATAATAAAAAAATCTAAGAATATAAAATTTGATATTTTTACATACAGGTTTCATTATTCCTCAATTGATGGATTTAGACTAGCTGCCAAACATTTATGTATTAATTTTTCATGGCAGGATACCAAACTTTCCTTTTTCTTCAAGTTATTG